ACTAAAAATGCAGCGTTTGAAGGAAGCTTTATCACTTGTCTAACGAACATTCATTGTTTTTTTTTTTCAGTTGCAACTATGGCTGGACTGGAGAAAAATGTGACATCGAAGACCCGTGCTATAGGCATTCCTGTTCACCTGGAAGCTTATGTGTGGCGATTCCCATTGAGCAGCGTGAAGAGTATTCTCTTGGATACACATGTCTATGCGAAATGAACCAGGACCCAGACTTCGCTTCACTGAACACTAGTACGTTTAGCAATAACTGTCCCTTTAAACTATGATAGTAGCAACCATTACTACTATCATCATCACCATTAATAACAATTATAATAACAACAGTGACGATGATACCATGATAAACAATAACAGTAATAATATCAATTATTATTATTGTAATTACAATAGTAATAATAACTCCAATGATAATCGTGATCATGATAATAAATGATGAAAAAAACAATGGCAGTAATAACACACACATACATACATGCATGCTTTAGCAGTACACAAGGAATCTCGAGATGGTCGAAGTCGTACCAGATGTTTCTGTCGAAAGGACCATTGAGCTAGATATTACTTCAGAAGACGAAACGAGCGCCAGGATCGTCAGCAGGCTGACCACCGGGTGATACAGCATTGATCAAAGCATCTAGAAAGTTAATCAGCCGTATAGCTGAGAACCACACTATGCTGTACAACTGTTCGAAGTACAAGAGTGGCACTCCTATTTTTAATTACTACTTGGCATTTTTTTCCAATCAATTTTTTGATTCTTTATTTTAAATTCAGACGAAGTTTTAAAATCAACGCTTTAGCAGCAGTACAGTGTATCCAGGCCGATTTCGGCCTATGCGTAAATCATCAATGCAAGCACGATGCCCAGTGTTATCCTTGCGATGAATCTGACGAAAAAAATTTGCAGCTCTGTACTGAGGAAGAAAAGCAAACCGGATTTAGGTGCTCATTTAAGTTACTTATCTTTCAGCTGCTTTAATTTTAAAAGAACTCACTAGCTGTAGAATAGGGAAACACCCCCTTGTTGCTGGTTATTTCTCAAAAGCCAGATCAATCTAATAACGTTTCGTGCACAAAAATAGTAATTGTGGTAAAATTTCCCGCAAAGCTATGAAAAACAACGAATTAAGTACTCCGCCAGCTACCATGAAAATCATTTGAGCAACGGGTATGAAGTTAAGATTTCT